AATATGATTGCAAAAATAGTTGAAATCGTCTTAAAAATTAAAGGTTGTGGTAAAACTAATCTTTATCAGTAAAAACCATCATAATGAATTTTCTTTGCTTGTAAGGTTATAATGAAAATGAAAGATTTCCTAATTGATTATAGCTTACTTTACATACAAAGTTAATGTAACAGTCTAAACTAAAATTAAGGATATTTCAAGCAATAACTTTTTTTACTAAAGCAATTATAAAATAATGCAATCTTTGATTCAAACATAAAATGGTTAAAACGAAATAAAATAAAAGTAAAAATCAAATAAAAATAACTGGATGCTCCTTTAACTAACTGATTAGGTTTCTATTGTTTCTGTTTGTCTCTATTAATTAAGTATATCTGGTGCATGCATGTTTCTTTGAGTAATAAATAATAATAACAATGCATAATATTCTTTAGTTACTGAAAAAATAAGGTAATAGTAGTGCACATATACATCTATTAAACTCTAAATTGTCCAAACTGGTTAAATTACTCTTCAAGCTTTAAATTATCTAATAGTTGAAAAATTAGTGAATGTTGTACATGCATGGGATTTAAAAATATAATTATGGTAAAAAATAAATAATAATACTGGTTATTTGCACTTAAGCTTCAGACCAGTATTATTATTTATTTTTTACCATAATTATATTTTTAAATCCCATGCATGTACAACATTCACTAATTTTTCAACTATTAGATAATTTAAAGCTTGTTAAGTACTTGTATAAAGTAAATTTCTTAAAAAAAAAAAAATATTTTGACAGTTGCCACAAAATATTTAACAAGAAAGAAATAATAATTTTTTTTAAAATCTAGCACAACATTTCTGATTGATTCTGGTTTCTTCCTGACCAAGGTGTCTTGCTCTTAACTCTTTTAAAGATTATTTGTGACTATTATGTTGAAGCTCATATTCTTTTGCTGCGGTTTTGTTATGACGGTGTTTTACTTTATGTTTTTATTTTTTTTCCTCCCGTATTAACTTGAGTTTAATTATGATTACTCTATTTCATATAAAAAATGGGATAAAGGTATTTTGATTGATTGCCACGTAAATATTGGAATAAATTTATTGTTACAATACATTGAGTGAGTAGTAAGGAATGAAAACCCTGAACTACTATAATTTGGTAGTAAGCTATTAATATTAATTTGTATGAAATTCAACCTATGGAGACAGTGTTTTTTGTACTAGTTCTTTGGGTACTACTGCATGTCATGTCGAAGTTGTGGTTCCTATTGAATCTCTCCAGATGAAAATCTACGGAACTTGTTCACTTTTTCCTTCGGGATAGACAAAGGAACTCCCCTTTTGATCACATGAGGTATTTGTTTGGGGACCATACTGCAACATAAAACACAACAATTAATTAATGGAAATGTGCAACATAAATAGGCCTAGCACAACATTCACACAACACACATAGCACATCAGAAACTTTAAAAATAAGTGGACAAAATACCTGCTCCACGAAAAATGCTGTCTATCAACTTCAGTGCAGCCATTGCCCATATCAATATATTGGACTTTCCATCAACAGTATCAGAACAAGAATTAATAATTCAACCACACAGACAAACCAGTGCCTATTCATGCTGCCAGCCACAATATACATGGTTTAAACAGCTGTTTCAATTAAAATAAATCTGAAAACACAAAAATACCTCAAATAACAATTTTAATAATATATTTACACTTGTACTGTTTACTCACAAGATGGTAAATAAATATAAAAGATGGTAAGTGGTGATCGATGTCGATTGGACACTCCAATCATCATCAGACCCAATAGGCGAATCAATAGAACCAACATACGCCTATTGGGTCTGATGATGATTGGAGTGTCCAATCGAAATCGATCACCACTTACCATATTTTATATGTATTTACCGTTGGACATGTATTTCGATTGGACACTCCAATCATCATCAGACCCAATAGGCGTATGTTGGTTCTATTGATTCGCCTATTGGGTCTGATGATGATTGGAGTGTCCAATCGACATCGATCACCACTTACCATCTTTTATATTTATTTACCATCTTGTGAGTAAACAGTACAAGTGTAAATATATTATTAAAATTGTTATTTGGCGTATTGTTTGTGCTTTTAGGTAATTTAATATCACGTACAATGCTGATAAAGAAGTTTTTCAAAAATTATAAGATCTTTCCCTCCCACCTGTAAACACGGCCACCTTTAACTCCTTGCCACAGCGTTCGAAGTGGCAACACTCTGTCAGTAATGCTGTTACAGCTGTTTTGTTTAGAGGCAGTAATGTGAAATTGTGTATTTTTTTAGAATACAAAAGCTTGTTTACTGGGCTATGAAAATATTCACTCCATTTTAAATGTACAGAAATAGATTTACAATTTATATTGTTATAGTTTATAACACTGTATGGTTTTATTTCAATCTTTTAATAAATTTATATTCATAAATTTAATTGATAAAATAAAATGATTACGTTATCCAACCACAGTTGATGGTATGAGACTAATTTCTCCATTAGGACATTTTGTATGCAACCACATCATCAAGGTGTTAATACATTGTGGTATGTCAATAGATACTTTAAAAGACTGTCACAGTCACAATAATAATGATGGTAAAATAATTAAAATAGAAATAGAATAAAAATGTATAAAACTGTATAGGCTGGCCATCACTGTCTCATCACTGCCACTAAACTATAAATAAAACTGACTGAATCATGATGTTTTTTTCTTCTTTCCAGTGCCACCTGTATTTCAGTTTGTTTTGTTCTTATTTTATACTTCTTTTTGATTTGTAACCTGTCAATTTATGTATAAAATATAATATTTGACTGGAAAGAAGACTGATCATTTAAAATGTTACATGGGTCAAGCTTTTTAACTTTGTAGATGGTGAATTTTTCTTTAACATCGAGCTTAAAACTTTTTGGTAATACTTAAACTATCTCAATGTTCTTATCAATAGATGTGTAGCTGTGGGATTCCAATATTAAATGTTAAGCATAACTGGATTGTTGATGTGTTATATTTTCTTTGTTTGAAAGATCTTCCAGTTTGGCTGATGTAGTACTTTGGACAGTTGTCACAGTTAACTCTATAGATACCTGATTTTTCATAGTTCTTTATTTAGTCAGTGACAGTGCTGGCCAGCCTGTACAGTTTTTATCAGTTTTATCAATTTTTTTTTATCAACATGACAAGTTTTAATTATTGTTATTGTAACAGTCTTTTAAAGAATCTATTGATTTACCACAATGTATACATTGATGATGTGGTTGCATACAAAATGACTTGACAAAGTTCTAAGGAACGAAACTAGTCGTCATATCAACAATTGTGGTTGGATAAGGTAATCATTTTATTTTATCAATAATATATTCCAATCAATGGTCACAATGAATAACATAAATTTAAATGAGTAACACGCAATTAAATGAGAGTTCGTCACCTAGAGTTAAGGGTGGCTGTGCCTGTAACCCATCACAACTAAGGAGATGGGAACTTTCATATCAATATTTTACCAAATCCAGGGAGCCTCGAAACCATAATCTCAGATAAAAAATTCCTTTTCCCTTTCCATACCCAAAGCAGGCTTAAGACTTTCGTGTAAATAAATACACTAAAAATAATATGATGTGTTCATAAGCCTGTTTAATGAGGGCAAGGGTCTCTGAACTGGATTTTTTGAGTTTAAAGCAAAACTTCACAGTGTTGCTCAACGATACCATCCATGTTGGCGTGATTACACAATGGAAAAACACTCGACACAAATATCCACCTCCTGTATCAATAAATGCCTGTAAAATAAATAAATAAAATAAATGGCGACTGAAGCAAAGCCCTTCTGAATTGTGAAGGACTCCTCTTCCAAACCCAACAGGTTGGACCCCCTCCACGGCTCTTTTGAGGCTACAGTGAATCAGTCCCAATACTTATTGAATAAACCCTGTATATTGGAAAGGTTTCAAAACATGGATTCTTTGTTGTTTTAAAATAATGTTTAATAAACGGTTTTAGTGGTTGTATTTGTGTATTTGGTTTAACTTATCCCATATATCTGTAGTATGGCAAAAATTATTATATGCAACTCGAGGAGAAGGGTTGACAACGGCACTTGCCGTACATGAAATCCCAGTAGGTGTAACCACACTTCCTGGATTTATAACGTAATATAACATTACTGTAAATTACTCTAAATTTCTTATAGAATAAACACAATAGGAGTTACCTGATGCAGTCTATAATGGGACAAACAGAAACGCAAAGATTGCATCCTGTGCAGTCCTGAGTGACATGTGGAATGTGTGTGGCAGGATCGAACTCTATGGCTTGGTATCCAGAGTCATTGCAAGCCATGTAGCACTTCCCACAGTTTATACACATGTCCTGAAACAACCAATGTGAAGTGAGTGACACAAGAATAAACATGTCTGTGCTAAAGAAATTAACATAGTAGGCTACATCAATAACCTAGTACATAGTAATAAGACTCTAATAACTTCCTAAATAACAAAGTGTTATTTTTAAATACCCGTGATTTTTCATTACCCATAATCCCATGTAATTGCAGACGTCAATAATAATTCTACTTTGATATATTGTCAGATATATTGAATTGTTTGATATATTGATATATTGTTCTGATATTGTTTTATAATATTGTGATACATTCTGTATATATTGTTGAGGTTCCACTGTAGTATATTGTCGAATAGAGGTAGTGTATACCTCTAAATAAATTACCTTTTTTGTTGGATTTGTTTTTGTCTGAAGAACGCAAAAACTATTCTGAACCAACTGGGCTGAATTGTACACACACACACTCTTGATCTGTCCTTAAGTTACCCTTGGTTACACATTAGGATGTATAAAGTTTCAGAGTGTTTACATCTTATATTTTAGAAAACGTGATCAGCCAAATTTTGAAGTACAAACCGATTTGGATACTTCATCCGACTGCTTGAATAGAAGGAAATTAAGCTGAGCGTCTGATTAAATAGTTTGTAAGAATAATGTTCATCGGGAAAAACTGTATTCACTAAAACGTCGTCCATCCTCATATTTTCAACTATTTAGCAATTCCATTGTTCTTTTATTATTAAATTATTCTTATTATCAACTCCAAAAATACCTTTCACCTTGTGAAGTTCTGAATGCATAAAATAATGCATTTGCAACTTTTTAAAGTGCATAAAACTATTACAGAATAAAGTAAGTATTAATACGTATAATAAAAGTCTCTAAATGTATATATTTATACTTATACTGTTAACTCATACGACGGTAAACACACTTGAAAGATGGTAAGAGGTGATGCATTGTACTGTAAACTCCAATCATCATCAGACCCAATAGGCAAATGACTGAATGAATGAAGTGCATGAATGGCAAATGAATGAATTGCCTATTGTGGGTCTGATGTTTGGAGTGTCAAATCGAAATTGATCACCACTTTCTATCTTTTATATACACTATATTTTATATTTACTATCTTGTGAGTTAAATAAAAGTAGGGGATAGCGGGGCTAAACCGTACAGCGAGGCTAAACCGTACACCCATTTTTTTTGCCTAGAATTCAAGCTAGGTGATCCCGACAAGTGCTGCTATCTAGCAGCAGAATGCGCAAGTTTACAGTATCTGCATCGTTTTGCTATGTGTGCTAGTTTCAATGTTTCAGTAAAAAAACATGTTTCTACTCACTTGCTTCTAATTTTTGTCCAGTACTAAATAAAAAGTTAGTAAAGTAGCTTTTATCATAGTCTATTAACTGTGAGATCATAATAAACTACATCCCTTAAGCTCTCTTTTGGTTATTAGCGATGATTGATTAAGTGATAGAATTTGAGTTTATGTTTATAAATTCCCACGAGGTACAGATTGGGGCTAAACCGTACAGCTCTGGTACAGGGTGCTGCTCATTTTCAGGGTGGGTCCATTCAGCTTGCAGTGCTGCGGAGTCTGCAGATAACTACATTTGTGGACTTTTTCTTCTTTCTTTTAATTTTGGGATGAAATTTTATAACTTTTTCATAAACTTCATATTTTTCATGAAGGTTGGTTTTTCAAATGTAATTTATTCTAAAATGTTTAAATTGTAATACACTGTTTCTTAACTACAACCTTTATATGGTAATAAAAAGTGTTTGTACAATAATTTGTTGCAGTACTACTAACCTAAACAAATGATTTTTAAACTGGAATAGCCCTACCCCCGGGGCTATTTAGTACAAGGTAACTTTTTTTAATTACCAATTTTTACAATATGTAAAAAATGCAATAGTTCCAAAATGTTTATTTATCCCTTTCAGACCCGGGAATCTTAGTCATCTCGACCGCTTTAAGTCCTGAGCAAATTTTGAATAAATGTTGGTTTTTAACCTAGATTTAAAATACTAAAATTATTGATTAGGTTTGTTTTAAAGACGAAACCTTCATAATACCATATTAACAATTTCAGTTTCAGCAATAATTAGCATTACATACGTTTAAAAACATAAATAAAACAGTCATTAACCTTAACAGTTGCCTCTTTCTCCTATCTTACCGTGACATTGCAACAAAACAATCAGTGTTACCATAAGACATGAAGGCAGACTGCAAAACAAAAATTCCCAGCTGATCTCCAACCTACACAATCAATGCGTACAGGTCTGAGCAACAGAAAGATCCAGAAACTTAAAAAAAAACAAATAAACATCTAACCTACACAATCGTGTTGGTTAGGTTGTCAGGACTTAAAAATTCACCTACACAAATGAGTGTGCTGGGTCTGAAAGTCAGTAGCCAAATAATTAAATTATATATTGCTTGTGTTTACATTACTTTTACTTCATAATTTGCGATGTAACTACGAATCTCCCTTATGTGTACGATATAGCCCCGCTGGCCGCTCTCCCCTATAAGTGTAAAATACATATATATATTTACACTTATAGGGGAGAGCTGTGTGTTTCAAGAGTGTTGTTAGCAGTGCTCGATTTGTAAAAAATGAGGTTCTGCAACTGTAACCTATTTAAGGTGATAAGTAACTATTTATGTACTCATTGTTTATCCAATGTTTTTAACTTTCCAAAAGAGAGGTACCGGAACTCCGTTCCACCGCATATCGAGCACTGGTTATTAAACATAATTATATTTACTTTCTGTAAATTTAATAACTCATACAATGCAGATCAAGAGGTTATTTATAAAATAATTTTAAAGTGCTTATGCACATTATTTATCTTGGCTGGAATTTTCATTCCCTTACAACAAATTCTATGAATACAATTTAAGTAAGACTGAGTTAATGAACATATAAAATAAAATAGTGTAAAGTTATAATTGTTTGTTTGAATAAACCATGATCTTTTGTTTTCCAAATAAGAAGACCTACAAATTCATCCTTTATTGTTCTTTAAACCAGCAGAACACGACATTATAAAAAAGCCTAGTTGCATTGTAATTAGCAGGAATAGAACATTGCATCCAACAGAGAATCACCTCACTATACATAAAACCAGCAACCTACCAATTTAATTTACAGTTAAATAAAATGTGATTAAATGTTGTATAAGTTATACGTAATATGAAAAGGTCATGAACTGTTTCTCTTAATCATATAAATACATATAATTTTACCACTTACATCATTAATCAGTGCAACAACTTGTTTGCTGCTGTCCAAACGTTTGTAGACCCCAATCCTTGGAAGAGCACTTCCAACAACATCCAACACCTTAGGCACTGGCCTCTCTGATGGGATAGGTCTTTCTGGATCATTTATATCCTCTTGCCCTACCATAGGGTCCTCTAATTTGGCCTTCATAAGGAGTTGATCTCTTTTCTCTTTGTACTTGCCAAAATGAGGAAGTACCTACAAAAATCGGTTTGGTTTAGTAATTGGATATATATTTAAGACTTTTATAACATAATTTGCGCAGGCTGTAAGGTGCTACGGCGCGCTGGGGTCGCGGCCCTTCCTATCTAAGGCTTTCCCGTACTACGCTCCTCTACCGTATCGCCTTACAAATAAAATGCTCAAAATCGCCCAAGTCGAGCTGGGAAACTCCAAGGTACTTCCGCTATTCAATTTTTAACCAACCGTATTTGTCGTCTCTTAAAGCTCAGAGTGACACCTCACCACAGGGGGTCAACGATGTCAACACAATCATCATCGCTTTAATGATCACTTTTGAAACAACTGTTGACACTGTGTTGTTCTCGCAGGACTAGCGCCAGGCTAATTCACCGGTCTTTATCAAATTAACCAATTTAGTATGCTACAATATCACCCTAATTGCCAGGCTAATTCGCCGGTCTTTCTAAACTACAACAATTTAATAAAATAAAATATTTCCCTACTTGCCAGGTTAACTCGCCGGTCTTTCTAAAGTAAAATAATTAAATAAACTAAAATAATTCCCTACAGGCCAGGCTAACTCGCCGGTCTTTCTAGCCTACAACAATTTAATAAAATAAAATATTTCCTTACTTGCCAGGCTAACTCGCCGGTCTTTCTAAAGTTAAATAATTAAATAAACTAAAATAATGCCCTACTGGCCAGGCTAACTCGCCGGTCTTTCTAACCTACAACAATTTAATAAAATAAAATATTTCCCTACTTGCCAGGCTAACTCGTCGGTCTTTCTAAAGTTAAATAATTACAAAAACTAAAATAATGCCCTACTGGCCAGGCTAACTCGCTGGTATTTCTAAAATACAATAATTAAATCAACTAAAATAACTGAAATATATTTGCTGAGAAAATAAGCTGGGATTTCAGTTGGGCTTCTTCGCTTGGTTTCAACTGACTTTGATCAGACTCAATTGCTGATTTAAACTGTCCTCGAACGACCAGTGGCTCTGGTTTTATCGGCAACAAGAGTAGCGAGATCCAGTGGTGATAGCACGTACTACTTCCGTGTTCAGCGGCCTCCAGCGGCCGGCGACGTAAGCTAGTCGCTGTTATCGGGGTTGACCCTTGTCCCGTAACGAGCTTATTGTCCGCGCCGCTAACACCTTTTGCTTGCTAACGGTTATAAACATAACTCATAGAACCGGTCAATATTTACAACCGTTACAAGGTAATTTGAAATTTAATGTATTAGAAACAATTAAAACTGAGTTTAAAAGATAAATGTTGTAGCTACCGCAATATAGTAGACGCAACGATTGCGTAAAGATAGTGTTAACGAGACTCGTAGAAGTTTTTAAGGCACTCGCCTTAACATTATTTACGCGAGTTGCGTACACTACTTTACCTACGAAAGTGTTTTAATTACTAAAAATCACTACTCATAACTTCTAAGAGAGGTTATGTTTTCGTTTATAACATCCCATTGCCACTGTCAGTTATGCAACGAAACATTGTACCAAATGCTAATTGCACCACTCAACAATTAAATTGGGTTGAACAGCTCATTAGTTGACGAATCATTACAATTTTACTTCTTCTCTCTCAATCCTTGATCCTCATTGGTCCATCACCCATGTTGTTTTGGGTAAAACTATGCTGTTATGAAAGTAAACAATGCTGTTATGTGAAACTTTTCTAAGAACTGAACTGAAACGGCTACCTACTTTTAAAACGGTCCTAGGTAAAAGTTTTTTAAATAATGTTGCTATGTTCGGTTATCTGAAATGAATTTGAGTGCTCAAACTTATGAACTTACTTACCTAATACAGTATCTGATGAGGAAGAATAAAGTCTGATTTCAATACTTACACTAAAATTTGTTTAATATTTCATAAGAAATTAGGTTAATCTATAGACATCTTATTGGAGTAGTTTTATACAATCCTCTATTTAGTTTAAAAATGAAACAAAGATGAAAATGTCTGACTGCTAAAAATTAGATATTATTTTCAGTAGATTACCAGAGGTAAAGGTATAAGATGTTAATAGTCATCATTTTATGGAAAATTTAAATGACAATAATCATCATTAAACCTAATGAACCCATAATATTATGTAACATAAAGTTACATTATCAATTTACATTTTGATACTCTTTACATTTATCAACTTTGTGGCTAAACACATCGCCAGCAATACTCATAGAAAATAGTCATATGAAGTATTTGTCATGTCACTATCAACTAAGACAATTTTGAAATTATTAATAAACAGTCGATAACTTCATATACAAGGTACTTTATGCTGTTTTCATGGATAGAACACTTAAAAGCCAACAGACAATGATAGAATCAACTCATTCAGTATTTACAATTTCATGTACCTTTCCATTTGAATCAAGCAAATGCATAACAGGCTTTCCTTTTTGGTGCACCGAAGTAGGGGGTGACTGACCATCCCATCCTTGCAATTTATCAATGCTCTTCAGATAAAGAAGTGTTTTCAGACCAGTTTCATAGTCTTCAATCAAAGTAAAATCTTGATTCTGTACTGCACTACCAACCTGCAAAATATGATTAACCCTTTGATATGTAAGACTATTTTCAGGTTGTCTTGATTGGTGAAGTGGTCATAGCTGTAATGACTGCATTTTGCACAGCTATAGATTTCACATCGGTTGTCCCTGCCGCGTGAATGTCAATGGTACTGCCCATCATAAAAACACTGAAACTTTTGAAAAGCCAGCAGCAGTATTGGAAAAAATGAAAATCTTTTACACAAAAAAATGTTATTATGTCTGTTGAATGGTGATAGCTAGTGAGCAATTGAGAAACTAAAATAATCTGGAGCTTCTTAAACTAAGCAAGTAAGTATAGAATCAGCCACAATGGATACCAAGCCAACACACAGAGAAAAGAGTAAGTATTAGTATTAGTCTTGCAAACGGAAGAGACAGCTGAAGTTGATATATTTCTGTTTTGTTTACCTCAACGACGTGGCTAGTATGACTGGCTAATGAGTTCAAAGGGCTGATCAGGAAGGTTAAAAAGGTCTATGAAGATATTTTGTACTAAACATTCTGATGTTTCCAAGGTATGCCAAAGGATCTACAAGGATCACAAAGAATTCATGGATTAGTTATTGAAAAATGATTTTTGAAACTACTTTAACATTTTTCATCTTAAAAACAGATCACAGTTCAAGGGAATGAAACTTCTATTTAAGTTACCTGCAATACTGTTGCACCACACTGAAGAAATTGTAAAGCACTGTCTGCCGAGTCAATGCCTCCAATACCGAGAATAGGGAAGCCAGGAAGTGCCTTCGCAATGGCAGAAATGGCTTTGAGGGCCATCGGCCTAACAGCATTACCCGACACTCCTCCATAAGTTGTTAGCTTCTCTTGCCCAACAGCTGGATATGGCTCTCCATTACTGTTTACGGACATCAGTCCTTGAACTGTGTTTATGGCAGATACACCACTGGCTTTACCTAAAACAGTCCAAAAATTAATTTTTGTTCAACCATTTGTGGTAAGGTTATTTTTATATTGGCTTTAACGACAATTATTTACCTTAGATACTTGAGTTATGGAGTAACTTATGCTTATTTTAGCTATTTTACTGTTATCCTATACACATATTTCACCACTAGTGTATATGATATATCTTCATGGATCTTAATATTTTTGTTATAAAGCTTGGCGCCCACTGGGTCGGTACTGGATTTTTCAAAAGTTAAAAACAATGAATCAAATGTGCATATGCACCCACTGCGTCGTCACTGACGTTAACAGCGTTCCGAGCCTTCAGGATGTCCAATGGAAAGTCTGAAGCTAAGAACTCTAGGATACTTCTGTGACGGCGGATCCATCCGATCGATCCAGTGCACACAGGCTTCTGATGTTCGGGACGGTCAGTACGGCATTTTCAGTGTTCTACACAGTCTGCTCTCAGTTCTCTGTTGTGCTTGTGTTCAGTTTGGTTGCACTGGATGACAAAAGTTCATCTCCTCTCTAGATAATTCTGCTTCCAGCATCAACAATGAGTTTCAATCTTGTTGTGAGTCATCCTAAAGTATTCAAAAAATTTAACGTTATCTTCTATAAGGTCTGGGAACAAATTGTGAAATTCACCACAAATCAACCTATTCCTATTGATGTGAATCCAAAACCTACTATTAAAAATGCACTCACTACAGAAATTTCCTCCTCCTCATCCATCTTTTAACAAATCCTCTCCCAAACTGACTTCTGTTTTGGCGAAAGGCAGATGGAGGACAGTGCCGAACGCCTGAGCGGAGGAACGTCTGATCCAGTGCGCGCACCCCCTCTAAAAAATGCTGAGACGGCTGTAACGACCGTACCGACTGTACCAACTCAGTGGGCGCGTAGCTTTATTAAGTTATTTTATTTTAATAATATTATTAAAAATTATATTTATTTCATTCTATAACCAAGACTAAGAAGTTTTAGCTAAACTTTGAGAAGACTACCCACTACCTCACAAGGACAAAGTTGACTTTATCAGTCTACTATGAGATCAAGGTCAGTGAATGCCAGTTATCTTATCTTATGCTTAGTATATAGTTAATGAATAGTCATTTATTCCATCTTTAAACATCATAATATTGTGATTTATTTCATCAAAAAATAAATACATCTTTTTTTGGGCTACATTGTAGTTGACAAGAGACAAAATGGCATGCTTTAACTTTCTAGTTTTGAGTTCTGAGAACCTCCACCCAAGCGTAAACTGTTAGGATCTTTGTACATAATGTCCTTCTGTGTTTTCGTGTTTTACGTGTGTGTTTTTGTGTTTACTGACGACCTCAATTTGAGTGATATGACATTTTTTAACTGCCTGAGGATAGGATTTTAATCCCGAAACCGGTCGCCTAAGACAACAATAGGATCACTGACGGACAGGTAATATAAACCATTTGATTGAATAGAGAAGCCAGCGACAAGCTATTTTTATTCATGGACAGCTTAAACTTACATTGAGAGATGTTCTGATGTTCATTATCGTTCCATTTATCAACTATTAATTATTTTACAATAAGCAATGTAAAATTGTAAAATGAATACCTTCATAGGCCGCTTTTGCTAGAGCAACAATATCGGTGATATTTGGTGTCAATTTGACAAAGAAGGGGATTTTAACTGCATCGTGGACCCACAATGAAATATTCTTCACCAGTACTGGATCCTGAAAGAAACAGATAAATTGATCTATTAGTTAAAGACTAGCCATTCTGTGGTTGTAACTCTTAAAGGTGAAGATCAGTGGCGGTCCCAGGATATCTTTTCGGGGGGGGGGGGGGATATATCCCTCCCATCACCCCCCCCCCCTGGGACTGCCACTGGTGAAGATCATGTTAGTCAAATGGAGGTTAAGTGTAGAATGAATGCCTCCGTGTAGTTTTGCAGTTCAAATGATAGCTTAGTCACATCACAGCTATGACAATGTCTATAAATAACACTTGTTGTATATTGTTATGGCTGCTACAATGTCTATTACACTTGCGTTGTTAATGACAATAACAGATTACTTATTCATGGTATGAATTAACTATCGATTGTAAGTCCAACTAATGATCAATTATTATTGATCCTGTCAAAAATTGGTTTTATTTTCAAATGTCTTCTTATGTGATGATCTAAAAGGTTTTATCAACAAATACGTACATTTTTTTAAATTTCCGCTAGTACTATATATTTTCCATTGCCCACACAGATGCTCTTGGAATGCAATTGTTTATTATTTGTATGTATTAAACACACACTACTGAGCCATTCTTGATTATACATTGCTTGATAATTTTCATCATGCTAAAACCTTAGTGATTAAACTAAACTTAAATTCCTTCCAGGGTTGAACCCTCCTATTAGTAAATAAATTTGGCAGCTCTTTCCTAAGATGTAATACTGTTTTCCATAAACAACGATTTGTTTATACTGGGTGTACATAAAAGAAGTACACCAACTACAACTTTGTACGTAACTTTGTAGTACAACATTGTACATTAATTTAACACAATCTACGTGTCCGACATAGCTGCGGTTGGTATCACTGGGTTGGAAAACAACTCCAGTTTTTCCAACACAGTTGACTGTTATCAACAATGCCAATAATTTGGTAAAATTGTTATTTATTGATTTGGTTAAAATGGTTGATACTCTAACAGAAAAGTCTTCTTGTGTGCTGGAGTTTGAAAGAACTCGATCTGCTACCACTGTTTGACGTAGTTTTCGGAGGCGTTATCATAGAGACCCTTCCAAGTAGGAAGTCAATCTATGACTGGCATCGGAAGTTCAAGGCCACGGGTTACTTAGGTTGCGGATGGGTTTTCAGGCTGAGTTAATCCGTTCAACACGGTTGTAAACACTCCTAGGATATCAACACAGAGGGTAGGTATGGAGCTTCTTCTTTAACATGGGTATGCTTTGCTTGGGGGGTTATGTCAGATGCAGAGTTTTTGTTCCGCCTTTGCCGTTGAATCTCTTGGAGCTCAGGCATCGCATTACTGCTGCAGTACAAGAGTGTTGACTCTTCAAAACGTTTGGTCAGAACAAATTCTATTAAAATATGAATAACCCCTATTAAGTCTGAATAGGTCAAAACCTTAGAATAGATGTCTGCAAAGCAAGCCGTGGTTCATATTAAACACTTTTAGTGTATAGGAAAAAAACTTGAGGTTTTCATCTTTCTAATGGTGTATGTTACTCTTTATAAGTCAGTAAAACGTCACAGTAATTTTTAAACAAATAAGTTGTTTACTTCTTTTGTGTACACCCGGTATTACCATCATGATCATAGCTGATTAACATTAATAACGGAAATCAAACTAAACATTTGCATTATTTGATTTGAATAATTTGTTTCTTCTTATGAGCGTTCTTATTGCTCTAAATAGCTTTATTGTATGTAAAGACCTAAGTTTAATCTTTGTTGAGACATCACGGTTATTCAAAACTGTGTTCAATCAAGCAATCCTAGGACAATAAAGATGATTTATTTATGCTATTGTCCTAGAAACTCCCTTATTTTCAATAATTTCCTTTTCAGTACGGTATATTTTAAATGTGGGGTACTTAGGTGTCCTAGATAAGGAAATTGATGTGTATTACAAAGTCTAAGTTTCTTATGACCTTGAAATTGAAGGCAACTTGCCTGGCCACATGCTAATCCCATGCCAGATTCGCCCATCCCATGAGGGCAAGAGAGGTTAAGTTCCAAAGCATCTGCTCCTGCCTCCTCAGCCATCTGGGCTAGTTCTGTCCAGTCCTCTGGGTTGTAGGTGCACATGATACTTGCTATCACCACCTGGAATTGCACAGAAAAAATTGTACCCTTAACACGTTAAGTGCCACGCCACCCCGATCGTACCAGCACAGGTAGGCCGGGCGGAGTGACGCGCCGCTCCGATCGGGGCGGCACCAGGGTTTTGCAGTGTTTCACCAAATCGCCGCTAGAGTTCACTGGTGGACTGCTAGCGGCAATCTGATGAACTTAATCGGTAAAGTACATCCGGTGCCTCACAGATGGCGTTGCCGTAGCCTTGTATTGCTGCCACAGCCTTCTGTAGAGACTTGTAATTTTGGTCCAAAAGCGCCGGTTTGGGCCGGCGCGGTTTGACTTCACGTAACTGTTGTACATTTGATTTGATATAAGTTGTAATAGACTGCATATATACCACTAATAGTAATAATTTACTAAAGATAAGGAAGTAATTGTTATTTGACCTCAAAAATTATTCATAAATATCTTTCCACAATAATTATAAATCACATACTATTTGTTATTTTTGGGTGAGATTTAAAAAAAACATTTTATTTTTATACAAATTTATTGACAGAACATTTTTAACTATGTTATAACGAAAATACAAGATTTAAATTCATGGGCAATGCCGTGGAAAATACAAACGTGAAGAATAAAAAGTTAGTAAATAAAGTTACCGTAGTAGTTTCTCCACCAATGGAACAACCTTCACTAATATCCATCTCACTGGACATTGGGAAGTTCAATGCTCTGTCTATCTCACTATCAGATAGATCACTCATAGTGAAAACTATAAACTAAACTATAATATCACTGAGTCACTCACAAGTAAACAAACATGCGCCATAGATAGCAAGAACTGAGTGAATGTCCCGTAGTCAAGGGATGAAGTGTGGGAGGGGTGGGGAATGTGCACAGCACAGAGACGTGTACGAAACCATATGTTGTAACCAGAGATTTGGCGGGAAATGACGTTACTGCCAACCGCGCAGAGTAAAATACCCTAAAATACCGAAAAATTACCCGCGGTCCGATCGGACCGGCATTGATTTTTTCTAGCGATATTTTGCTAAAAATTTTCACTGCTGGCCTGATTAGTCCAAATTTTATTTTTGGTCAAAATTGATTTTTTTTCATGATAACACCTCATAACTATGATAAATAAGTATAAAAACCATTCAGTAGAAAAAAGAACTACATTTCTGTTTGGCACTGCGGTAATCTGGCTAAAAAGTAGCGTGGCACTTAACGTGTTAAAGCTCCAACAGCAAATCTTTGTTCTTTACTGTGCTACTAACCTGCATAATATGATACAGTTAACCCTTTGCGATCTGAAAGCCATTTTAGGTTGTATATAGGTATTGAACTAAAGACTAACATGATAAAACTTTCAATTACAACTATCTATGCGACTGTACTAACTCAATAAAACTAGCTGTGAACTACACCTTTTACAATTGGTTCAAATATTTACTAAAGGATGTTATAATTTCATCAGAAGGTCTTGGATTCACATATTCAGAGTACCTACATTTAACATCTAAACAGACACACACACAAACACAATCATCAAAACCGCGGGCATTAAAACATTAAAAAAACTATAAAATGACAGCAACAACGGTATCAGGGACTGATGAGACATGACCAGATGGTTAAAGGATCAGAACTACCCTTGCCACCGTTTAACACCTAAAATGACTTCACGATAAGTCAAAACTAATTGTGGCACACACAACATTTGGACTACAAAGATGTAGGTGTTTAAACCAATTTTGATATATTCCATGTAATCCGAAGGCTACAATTAAAAATTAAATTATACCTATCTTGCAGCCAACCTATCTTGCTAATTATTATTGCTAATCTTGCAGCCTGGGTGTCAAGTTTATACCCTGTATGATGGAACCAGACTCCTGACCCTCCGTCTACCTGGGCACTGGCCAATGGTGTAAAGACCACTTCCAATCCCAGGTAGACGAGGGACAGAAGACAGGTTCCATCATGCAGACTATAGAGCTATATGTATGGCAATCTGCTGGATAACCAACAAGTCTGATCAAAGATTGCGCAATCCTTGGTGTTATCTTTCTGGCAAAAAGATAGCACTGTAGATTGAGGGCTCTATTCCTGTCTTAACAGGTCTGCTGTGCAACTCACGATGAGTTTACCTGTCTGTGGCAGATGTGGGAGAATCATGGTAAAATGTAAATTTGAGCCCTTGATCACTTATGGCTATTGAAAACTCATATTGTTATGATTTTAAAATGCTAGCTGTGTATAATTTTGTTACTCCCTCCTCGATAGTTATTCTAATTAGGAGACCTTCCCAGGACTGGAGAATCTAGCTAGTCTAATTTTAGAGTGCAGGACTAAAACCTCACCAATTGCCAATGGATTTCATCTATGTGATAATGACAGGACCCTCCAGCCTATTCTGAAATAATGTGTAAAACGGTTTCCAAGGAAGGTGTAACAGAAAAAAAATTATGATGCCACAACAAAATGTTTGAATAAAGAGCTAACTAGTATTTATAGAGGTTAAATACCCTGTCAGGAAAGTCTCTTTTGAGCTCTGTGATGCTGCGACACCAGTATGTTGCTGTCTTCTCTGAGATGAGCTCAATGTTGAGGAAAGATCCTTGCTCTGGACCATAGAGGTGTCTGGATGTCACTCCTCTTATGATCCTTGGAGAGATATTAGTGACCAGATCCTGGAGACAAACAAGCAGAACTATCAACTGTCATTAGGAAAGGGTTTTTAGCTGATTGGAGGTTTTTCTTCTTTCCTCTCGACCTTCATCCTGAAAGTCTCACCAGGGTCAAATAATTTTCTCGATAGCTGACTTGATATCAGAGGATGGTGGAATAGACCTTCCTCAAAAGCAAAGTTGACTGCTCGGGTAAATATAGCTTTCGTACTGGAATATGTAGATGATATATTATTGTAGGAAACTATAACTAAGAATTGTATAATCAATGATTGCCCTTTGTTGGCTCTCCCTTGGGGATTGGTTAGTTTGCATGAAGTTTGCAGATGGATTGCAATGGCATAAGAACTTGTATCATTGTTGATCCAATCTAAATAATGGTTATCTTGATTGACACAAGCGCAATGCACAATGTAATTTAGAAAACATAATAATAACAAATCATAATATTCCCTGGTGGTAGGCCAGAACTCGTATCCAATATATGAATGGCTTTGAAATTGATCATTGATCAAAATAATAGGATTACGCAGGAGTCAATTATAGCTATTTGTAATGTTGTAAATTTATTTATTGAAGCATTGTTATACCTTTAGCCTTTGTTCTTGCAGATGAGTTTATTAGTTCTTGCCATTGGGAAAATACATAAAATCGGTTTAAATTTTGTTTGTGTGATTCTGAATTATACATTTCTATTCAACATAACTACTGTACCAATAGAATTGATTTATTTTCTTCATAACAAGAACCCTTTACAAAACAGGTATGAACAAAATGAACTGTTCACAAATCTAACTTTTAGGTAATAATGTTAAATTAAGATGTCTTCAAAAACAATATACATTTTATAAATATATGGTCGTGACTATTTTGCAGCTTTTTGAGGATCTACTTCCTAAACAGCATAGTAGAATGTGAGAGAATTCAAGCTATAATTTTGAGAAAATATTCCAAATTATTCTTACCTTTTCCAGAGAAAATGTCTTAGTGACAACGAATGCCCATCCTTGCTCAAAAGCTCTGCGGATCATAGCACTGGAGGTGGTGGGGGGAGCCGAAGCGAGTCCAAACGGGTTTTTAAACTTGATTCCACACATCTCAACACTGAGGTCAACATCATCTATGGGGGTGTAGAACTTAGGTAGTTGTGGGGGTCCAACCACTGGCTTCCCATTACTCTTCTATGGGAAAAATACTTTGTTTGGTTTCATTTGCTCTTTGCATGGAAGAGAGATTCCTTTGATTTCTTGTATATCCATAAAAACATTTCATAAATAATACCATTGACTATGTACCACAGGTAGGTATAGTCAATGATAATACTAAAAGCAAAAGGTTACTCTGGTTTTCATTCTTGAAGTACAAATAATTTTGAATCATGAGGCTTGTATTTGTACCTCTTAGTAACTTTTCCACTTGATATTCCAAGAAATATTTATTTTTTGCCCAGTGTAAATACTATGAATTAGCAATTAGAGCTCTAATTTTTAAGGTCTGGTTAAAATATTTTTCATTTACAATTGAAATACAATCTAAAATAACCTATTTCTTATTGAAAACCCAAATAGATGGTTGCAAAATATTTACTACTGTTTTAAATAAAAGGATCGTAAATATTCCTGCCAAAAAGGGAAAAAACTTAAGATGATTGCCGGAATCTTTACACTTTTACAAAATAGTTAGGAGAATGTTACCCTTTTAGTGACCACTATTCAAGTATTATCAAAATAGGCCTACTTTATAAATATAAGGGTTCTCCTCAACAAATAACTTAACAGAAAAATTCATTCAAAACTTTATACTGTAGAAAATGTACCTAAGTATGTTTCTTGAGTTACACTGAAAATTTAAACAAATCATACTTTAACTAAAATAGACATAAAATGTTAAAGGTTAATTATTTTACCCATTTTTAAAAACTGTAAAATTACGTTACCTCTTATTTTGTAGAATGCCTTTAGTTATTGAAGTTCTAAAGATCACTGATGCACATTTCGCCACAAGTTGTGGAATCTTCAGATTTACACTAAACTACATCACTACTATATACAAACATTGTATAGTAGTTAGTTAGTAGTGATGTATAGTTTAGTGACTCTGAAGATGCCACAACTTGTGGCGAAAAGTGCATCAGTGATCTAACTTAGAACTTAAGAACTATAGGCATTCTACAAAATAAAAGGTAATTTAAACTAAATGTTAGATAAATCTATTTGAATGATTAAAAAAAAAATACAAAAATCATACCTACTTTTGAAAACATTTGAGAAACTATTTCAACATCAAACTTACAGTTTTATAAAAAATAACAAACCTGGATGTAACAATGAATGTACCAGGCTGCAGTTTTGCCGTCGTTGACGGATTCTACAGTTGTGTCTGAGATTCCAGCCAAGTCTCCTCCTACGAACACATCCACCTCGCTGGATTGCATCGTCAGGGTGTTGACCACAGGGAGGTTGTCAGAGTTTAGCTTCAGAGGGTGCAGCCCAGCAATCACTGCAGAAAATTAGGTCTCAATCACCTTTTATTACTCATGACTTTAAGGCCACACATCTAGGTTATGAGTTTAGGTCATATTTACTATTACTAGGTTGGTAAGTCGGTGGCTCAGTCGGTATAGCGCTACGGACCTCGGGCCCAAGGCAGCAATGTCGTGGGTTCGGATCCTGGTACCTGCCACCACTTCACCCTTGCTTTTATTATACAGTATGTTCCTCATACAGGTTTGTTTTATAGCCTATATGGATGGGCAAATAAATGCAAGGTTAAAAGAGGCAGCAAACCTCGCTTTACCAAAAAAGACACATTTTAGGCAAATAGGAGTGAGATGACCTAGGTAGCCGTTCTTCATGACTGAGATCAGCTGTAAATTTAGCCGTAATTGATTTTTAAAAGCCAAATTATTGATCAAATATCCATCACGTAAACTTTTGTATCAGTTTAATTATTTATATCTGAAAACTATAAATTAATGTCTCAATGAACTAAAAACAGTCTTAATCAAATTACCTAAAAGTTTTCATTTTTAATATCTTACATTTGTGTGTGTAAATATTGGTAATGTAACACTGCAGATAAATAAAAATTATAAATAGCATTTCTATGACTGTAACATACCAGTACACTTTGGTTGTCTTTGAATGTTAGACAGGCAGTTGCTGTGTGAACAAAATGACACAAACTACACGAAGCAATTAATACACAGATAGAGGTAAATTAAATTAAATGAAAAATCCTTTTTTTGAACAGGCAAAGTTAGGGCCACATGGCCCTTTCTTACACTTAACCTGCATACATAATTATAAATATAAAATAGAATACACAATTTAACACATTATTTACACAAAATCAATACTTTTTTGATAAAACAAAAACAAAATGTCTAACAAAAAAAGTCTCACACACTCAGTCAGCAATTACGCAAGTGCCAAAACACAAAAAAGGTATGACAATTTAAATATAAATTTAATTTAGAGAGTATAAATCAATAAAATCAATATAAGTAAATCAATATGAAACAATAAAGATTTCTGATTCTAAGTTTAAATTACACAAGGAACCAAGACACAAAAAAACTTGTTCATAGTTCATGAACAATTTGCAAAAAAAAATAAACTCACACTTTTTTATGAAATGTTTATGGATTATAATCCAGAATTCAGTACAGAGTAAACAGCAACAAAGTAATAGTAAAAATCATAAAGGCAATACTATAACAATTTTATCTAACTACATAAAGGTTTAATTCAATATTACGTTGTAAAAATAATGTCTTTCGATTTCATACGACTTTTCTTAATTATATAATATATTTTTTGTCATATTATTCTAAATTGTTCCATTTATTTTTTACATTTTAGTCCCCTGAAATTTTCTTTTGTCCCCAGCGAGCCAAAGGTGAGTCATTTATATAAATTTAAATGTCCAAAAGTATACACACATCATTATTGTAAAATCCTAAAATATTCATATGTACTATTTAACTTTAAAAAATAAGAACTTCAACAATGAATTGTAGCTGTCGTAGGCAATTAATTGCTTACCCGTTGAGTCATATAATCCTGAACCAAAAGCAGATATTACATAATCAGCTTTTATTCTCGTTGATTGTTCTTTGTCAACTACCCATTCTCCTTCATCATTTTGTTCAGTTCGGTAGAACTCTACTGCAGTTATTTTACCATCCTTGGTAATAATGCCCTTTGGAGCCATAAATGGTAGAAACTCACATTTTTCTTCTTTTGCAAGCTCAACCTAAAAATGCACTGTTTTACCATACATGGTGTTAAAAAAAGGTGGAAACTTAGTTTGCGTAGTGATTTCCTTGGGTCAAAATAAGCAAAAACGTTTATACAAACATTTGTCCAATCTCAGTAAATTTCAGGCAGACTTCGACGTTATCTCACTAAGATTAGTTTTGACAAAGATTAGACATAGTTTGGAAAAATGTAGCCTAACTGAGAAATTAACTGCTTTCCTGCTATACGTACAGTTTTCTGTATTTAAACGGTGTTAAAACTATGGAGAAAACTGTAGGTATAGCAAAGAAATAAATTAATTAATATGATATTCTTTGCTTAATTTTGCTCATAAGGAATCATCCACTACTCAAAATATGTCCCCACCTTTTTCAAACACCCTGTACATCAAAATTAGTCTAGAAAAATATACATATTATTTAGACTAAAAAAACTTTACTGTAAAGGTTCTTACTTCCTCTGGTACTGCTCTGATGTTGGTAAAACCTTTTCTAAAGACGACAAAGACTTTGGAGGCTCCACAACGGAGAGCGGAAGTTGCACAGTCAAACGCCGTGTCACCAGCTCCTAGGACTATTACCTTTCCACTCAGTGTTGGTAAACCGCAAGAACATGAGTTGCATAAGCCTAGCAAACAAATAAGGATGATTAAAAAATTAAACATTAAATTGCATAGTTCTGTCAGTGACACAAATGTTTATAGAATACAAAGCTTGGGTTTCCTATTACTGAGTTTATGGCACAGCATCTTTGACTATGGAGAGTACCGGTAGTACAGGTATAATTACCATGTTAAGACAGCGACCAGTTTTAAAACAGGACCATTTAAACTATGTTAAACTTTATCAAGTTTCTAACCCACCTCTTAAGTGTATATAGTGGGGTTGTATAGTTGCATATAC